GAAACTTAAAAACAACAAAAAAGCTATTTTTTTTTAATTTATTGGCAATGGATAACAAAAAAGCTATTTATTTGCAGTGTTGCCACCTTGGTGGTTTTTCCACCAGAACTGTTGTTTTTCCACGGCTTGTAGTGGTATATTTTCATTATCTAGCGGGTATATATTTTTTAGTGGTTTTTTAACATGAAATCTAGCAACATATTTTTAAGGGGGAAATCCCCTAACTTTTCGAAATTTCATAATGTTCTATGGTTACTCTTATGGTTACAGGGGAATTCCCACACGCGTTTGTCTGTTAAGGGCTTCCTTCCATCATTCATTCTGTTTCAGGTATTAGGTTCGCGTTCATTGTGTTGTTAAAAAGTGTAAAAGTTTGATTTGATAGAAACGTTTGTAACAGTGTGAACTCCTGAAGCTGTATGTTTAGAGTATTCAATTATGTTATTATGGAAATTCTATTCAAGAAAAAGAATTATATACAAAAGTATAGAAAAGAATGGGAATCACTCGACGAATTCCAAACCTGGCTTAAACCTTTAGCAGGTGTTGATGCGTTCATTTTGTAAAGCAGAATTATTAGCAAGAATAGTTGAGAAGACATGCTGAAACAAGAAAGTACAAACAAAAAATGCAAATTCTATCCAGCAATCAAAAGATCTCATTTAAAAAACACAAAATACTCTTTCAAAAATCCACTACAACCACAACCAAACATCTTCAGTTTCGACGATGAAGTTAAAGAAGATGTAACATTTAACAATATTGAATTTTAAATTTCACATTTTGTTTAAGATTTATTTCTTGATTATAAATAATGAATGTTAATTCATATAATTATTTCATTCTCTAGTAGGGTGACTGATCCAAATGCTAGCACTGCACCAAATAATCAGCACTCTGAATAAATAGTAAAATAATAAGGTTTTCACTAACTGATTTGGGTTACCACTTTAAAAAATAAATAAATTGTTGTTTTTGAAATCCTACCACTGGCAATACCATACTTTCTGACTTCAAAATGGCAAAAAAAATGTAAAAATACGTTTGTGTCCGGCAGTTCGTCTTATTTTTGCCTGTTCTTAGAGATCGAAGGTAAGTTCACGTGTTTACATTTAATGCTTTAATAGATCTTTTAAATATTTTATATTAATACTTTTGATTTATGTGATTTCTTAGATAGTTTATCAGGATAGTTTGAAAAGAATAATTTGAGGTTATAATGACATATTGTTAAAAAATGTGGTGCTAATATATGGGTCTAATATTTTGCGAATTCCAAATTATCAGCACTGGTGCTGATAAATGGAAAATAGTACGTAAATACTTATACCATATTTTTAATTGTAAACCGTGCTTATTTGATGCATAAAATTCATTTATTTTTCGTAAAAGTAGTTTATGCCTTCGGAATCCAAATCTTAGCATAGTGCTGAAATTACATTTGCTATTTGTCAGCATAGTGCTAATAATTGGATCAAAAGCATGCTGATAATTTGGTTCTCCTAGCATTTCATAATTTTTAATTTTTTCAGACCCACCTACCATGAAACTAAAGGAAGTAAATATGCCAAATAAAAGAAAAAAAAAACTCTTACGAAAATCTATTAAAAGACTTAGATGCATTAGAATAGGGTATGTCCAAAAAATTGGCCTCGAAAACCTACAATAAACCTAGATAAACTATCCAGTCGCGATTAAGAAAGCCATGCAAGAAGCTACCAGACCCTGATCCACTATTGTCGAACGATGAAGAGGAAGTTTTAGTAAAAGTGGGTTTTAGATTGCTGTCGGAAAGGATTCCCAAACAAAAGACTGATTTACAATTGAGTGTAGCAAGTTTCTTAAAGAAGACAGAAAGAGATTTAGAGACCCCTTAAAGGATGACATATCTGGTAGAAAATGGTATGACCTTTTTATGTGCCGTCATCCAGAACTCAGCGAACGCATTGCCGAAACTGTAATATCAGTCAGTGCTAATGTATCAGAAGAAGACACAAAAAGGTGGTTCCACAATTTTGAGTTTTGTCCTAAGGAAAACAACTACTTTAACATCTACCAGAACCCGTCTCGTGTTTTTAATGGGGACGAATCTAACTTTCAGTTATATCCTAAGAGTGGCAAAATCATTTCATTACGAGGAGAAAGAGACTTATATGAAGTTGATCACGCTGCAGCCAAAACTGTCTTTATTGTACTGTTTACGTTTTGCGCCAACGGAGATATTACACCTCCACTAGTTCTGTTTCCCAACAAGAGGTTTCCCAATGATAAAAAATCATAAGTCCCAAATGAGAGGGGCATTGGTTTAAGCTGTACTGGCTAGATGAAATGTGATTTTTTCTATGATTATATCAAGAATGTATTTCATTCATTTCACATCATACTATTTGTAGATGGACACAAAACACATCTTAGTCTTGAAGTGAATAAATTGTGCAGCAAGTTGGACATTATTTTGATTGCTCTAAAGCCAGCCGACACATGTCAGCTTTTAGACCTCTCAAAAATGCATGGAAGGAAAGTAAAATGGAGGAGAGATTACCCTTTGGAGACTCTCACAAAGAATGATTTTGTACCTGGTCTTATAGAGGCTTTAGAGGTTGGCGTCAAAGATACAACAGTGATAAATGGATTCAGGACTATTGGCTTATGTCCCTGTAACTTTGAAGCCATCAACTACAAAAAATGTCTGGGTAAAGGAAATAAACATGATAAAGAACCAAAACAAGACAAATAAAAATTACAAGAAGATTGTAATGAAGATAGAGTTATGACACGTGAAACTTTAGAAAAGATTGTAGGGCAAGAAAAATGTACCTACATTTCTGCAAAGAACGCCGCTTGAGAGTCTAATAGAAACAGAAAGGATTTTAAAGAAGATTTGTTGTTATTTCGATGATCAAACTGATGCGTCCACAACTTCCACATCCCAGGAAGCTGTTATCAAATTTCTCAAAATTGATCAATTTCCAGTAATATTAGCATAAGATTTTGTAGATGAAATGCAAGCTATGATCTCTGCAACCACTAACGAACCATCTGATGGTTCATTATACTGAATATTGTCTTGGAAGTGCGCAATTTTTATGTCTTGATAGTCAACAATATTTACCAACTCCAGTCAGATTAAACAATATTTACTAACTGCAGTAAAATTACAGGACGTATTGGTTACGGAAAAAAACGCCTGAACGAAAAGGTGTTAAAAATGTAGAGAGATCATCATTTGTTCTTACTTCAGCTGAATGGAAAAAGACTGAAACAACAAATTAAAAACTAAACAACCTAAAGAAGAAGAACAGGCGACTCATAAGAAAAACAGATTACTGAACAACACGAAAAAATAACGCAAAAGTAGAAACCGCTATTAAAAAACAAGAGAAAAAAAGCTAATAAAATACAGGAGAAAAAAGACAATACAATAAAAGGGACAATAGAAAATAAAATACAAGATACAATAGAAAAAACAAAATAAAAGAGATAAAAGCTAACAAAACACAAGAGACATTATCATAATACATGATAATAATACGAAACTTTGTTAAGTTTATAAATACAATTAGATTGTTGTCAAATATTTTTTTTGATCCTTAGTCACACATTACCCACCTATATTAAAATAAGTCAATTAAAGAGATTATAGGTACTAATAACATTTTTTATTTCATATAATTTCAATACCACTATCATAGTGCTGTTAATTGACTCACTCTATGCTATTAAATGGTGGTGATGGTGCTATTAAATGGTAAGATGGTCATTATTTACTCTTGTCCATCTAAAAAAAATGGATACCTAAATATAAAAAATATTTTTTAAATAATCATCTTACTGATTGAATATTGAAACTAGAAAACTCGTCATAACGGGTGAAACAGCATTTTTCAATGTGATAAACGGGCTTAAGTTTGGACTAACTCTTAAAGTGCTGATAATTGGATCAGTCACCCTACTACTAAGGTAACGCTCGGAAAAGTTTTAAGTTAGTAAAAACAATATTGTCATTTTTTTTTAAATAACAAAATTTTACTAATATGCTAGTTGACCCTTTTTGGAAAAAGGTTTTAAATGGTTAATAAATGTTCTATTAGACCGAAAAAAATGTATTGTATTTTTTTGAGACCTAGAAAGCTACAAATCTTTAATTTTAAAATAGACTTTTCATGGACATACAAAAACGCTGCCGGCCATTTTAGTCAATAGATTATCTATGCTATGACGTTGACAGTAGTAAACAAAAACTCGTAAGCACGTAGAAAATAACCCATCTGAGTTTATAATAAAAAGAAAACATGATTTCTAATAGATACCACGAAAAATATAGTAATTATTATTATTGTATTGTACGAGAATGTAAAAACACATCTTTGAAGACTCCAGGAAAGTTGTGGATTAAAGTGCCGAAAGAAATTAACCTACGCAATATCTAGTTAGAACTTGCTAAAAGGGATCCTGCAACTTTAACGACTCATAGTAAAATTTATTTTTGCGAAGATCACTTTGATGTAAATACTCATTGAAAAATATTTTAAGTCTCTTCATTTATTATCAGTTTTAATAATACAAGTTTTAAAGTTATGTATGAATGACATTTAGTTGTTTACTAAAACAGACGTCACAATCATGGCGGATGTGGCGAACAGCGTTTTTAGTGTTTAAAAAGTATAGACTAAAAATTGTTTTTTTAAATTAAATTTCTACAGCAATCTTCTGCTTTTATGAAGTGAAATCGATATATTTAGGTTCCTTAGACAAAATACTTTAAGAAATAAACATTTATTTAATACAATTCGGCATGAGTCAACTAGCCTATTTAGAACGACTGCGGGATACATTTATATCTGTAGCATCACATATTCACTGGTTTTTTATTTAAATTAGGGTTTTTTGTTATCAGAGATGTAATTGTAACTTAGCGGATTTTGGTGTAATTTATTAAATCCAAATTTTTCAAATCTGGCGTAATTTACTTTTGACTTGGCGCTTTAAAAAAAAAATCCAAGGTGGCAACACTGATTATTTGTTTATTTTTGTTGTTCAGTTTGCTTTAATTGGTTTAAATCAAAGAGTACTTTTTATATGTTTAAATTAGATTTTAACATTGGGAAATAGTTACGGATAAAAAAAATATATTTTTTTAGTTATTTAATAGGTGTTCTGTGTATTTTATCAGTAAAAACAAATACCTGACTTCGAGAATGATTTCTCAATTACAGGTCAGTACGACAGGTTTTATAAAATATCCATAAAATTTCTTGTAGTATTGTGCACACAAATCGCCTTATCATTATATTCATCTCTTTTGTTTAGTACTTACCTTTTGTTTGGTTATTTAATTATTAAAACAAGCTTTTAATAATAACCTAAACAGCATGATGCAAATTGCACGTTTTTCCCCATTGGTGCAGCACACGATCGGCTTATTATGCTTGTCATCCCTTTATTAGTTTTTTTTTATTATTTTAACAATCCTAAAATAATAATAAAAAATACCTAACTAAAGATGGATAATACAAAAACAGCAAAATGCACATTGCACTTTTTTCCTCATTGGTGGTGAGTAGGTTTCACTTACTAACACTTAATAAAATATTTATGAAGCTTATCATTAAGATATATTGAGATATTTTCATATAAAAATTTATTACCTATACGTTTTTCCCACAGTTACCAAGAACATTATGTAACCTGATAAGAATACAGCAATGCAGAATTAACACAACAGGAGTTGCTAATGAAAATCAAAAAACAGAAAAAAGTAAGTTATTTTAGATTATCCCATAGTTTTTTGCAATAAGAATGCATGCCATGCCAATATAGAAAAATTCTAAATCAATCTGATATTTCAGCTATAAACCAAGTCACTCTCCTGGGCCGAGTTGGTGCTGATCCTCAAAAACGTGGGTCAGAGGAGCATCCTGTTGTAAATTTTCCACTAGCAACTCATTTTAGTTATAAGTATGAGTCAGGAGACATATTGCAAAGAACTGACTGGCATAGGGTAAGTATATTTAAACCAGGACTTCGAGATACAGTATACAAATATTTAAAAAAGGGTCAAAGAATTTATGTTACTGGAAAATTGTCTTATGGAGAAGTGAAAATGGATGATGGACAAGTTAGAACTGCTTCAACAGTTATTGCAGATGATGTGATATTCTTCCAAAATCCCCCACCAGAAATCTGAATTTAGAGCTAAACATAATTAAATTTTAAGATTAATTACAAATTAAAATATAATTAACAAGATTGTTGTTTTACTTTTCAAGGACTAACCTTTAAGATGGGTATGCATAAGACTGTCTTTTTCGTTGGTTAATAATAATTTACTTCTATCTATTCTTTCACTAACATCAGCTTACATAAATTATGTGGTACATAGGTACCTATTATTTTTGGTATTTTATAATTTTCGTACACACACTGGTTTCTATTCAGAAATGAAAGATTTGTCATAGGCATTCAGCAGTTCATTAAATTATGTCCACATTTTATATACAAACTGTAAAATTACACCCATCGATATCCGTGATTACACCACACGCCCCCCTCCCTCCTCCAGTGTAAGTAGGTTCTACTGTTGTTGTGACAGAAAATTGAATCAACTTTTTAAATCCAATATCCCACCTTATCACAGCCTGAAGCCAAATAACCCACCTTCTGGAACCCTGGAAGTTTTACTTCCATATTTGAACTTAGAAAGGGTAAGGCAGGAATAAATCATTCATAAAAATTATTTATGCACTTTATTACTTCTCATACCAATGTTTTGATTAAAATCTTGCATTATCTCTTGACCAGGACAGTATTGTATTGTTGTAACAGTATGCTGTCTTTGTCCAGTGGTGCCCTCTATTGTAGAATGAAAATAAGGTTTTCAGAGTAGTTTATATCAAAGTGTTGCAAATAAATATACAGGAATTCCATTAGATGTCGCCTTAGTGAGGATTCCTATTTTATATAGGTATTTGTTAAAGCAGTTGATAATAGAATAGGCTAATATTATAATATTATAGCTTGTTCTTCCTATTCGGATTTGACACTGCTGACAAAAAGTAGAAATCTAAGCGGGTCAATTATGCTTTAGTGATATAATCCTAATGTCCTTATGATGTTGATGCCCAGTTGACATTGTTTTTAAATGGTATTATGAAACATTCCTATGTCACATCAAGATCATATCAATATCTTAATATATCCTGTATCACATTTTTGACGTTTATGCGATACTGTTTTAAGTCAAAAAGTTGAACGTAATACGCATTTCAGTTGATATCATTTGAAAGAGTTGATCTTAATACGCGTAAGTTGATGTCATTTTGATATCGCATTTTTCGGAGAGCATAATACGTAATGTGAAATTGACATCAGAACAATATCACTATTAGCGAGCTTAATTGGCCTGCTGTATATATTTATTTTATTTAAATCGATCGCTAGATAAAACTTTTTGATCGGATATTACCTACTATGACTATGACTCTGTTAGATGAGCTACTTACGTGGCGGTTACATTTACGCAAAAGCAATAGTACTAGTTAATGATTTGTAAGCACCACGAATTATGTAGGTACTGTTTCTTTTTAGATACCAATAACTATCTTATATGTCTCGATGTCGATTCTAGCATGATTCTGTAACTTTTAAAACTAAATTTAACATAAGTATCTCCTTTTCATTCTCTATAGAGAATGAGAAGGGCACACTGTTGTCAAATTTAAGTTTACATAACCCTGCCAGAATCGATACCAACATCTACCTATGTTAGGGCGACCGTTAACAGCTCATCGCTTCATTTAAACTACTTAGCTATGTAGGCATAATTTTATTGATACCTCACATCGAATATATAGAATTTGTAAATGAAATCGAAATTTAGGTCAGGGGTCAATCGCACTAATGTAATAACAATATTAAATAAAATGAGGATGAGGTAATTGAAAACCTTAGGCGGTCAGAAATAACAAAATAATAGCGTAAGCGATAGCCATAGCGACTTCGTTAGGCGATTGCCCCCAGGGGGTCAACGCTCATTGCAAAAGAAAAAAACGAGATAGCGTAAGCGATAGCCATAGCGACTTCGTTTGGCGATTGCCCCCAGGGGGTCAACGCTCATTGCAAAAGAAAAAAACGAGTGCGAGGCATTACAAAACCTTCAGCGGTCAGAAATAAAAAAAAAAACGCCAGGTCCCTCGGCACAGCCTTTAGCCGCCCTTCGCAGCCCGGGTCGTGGCCATTTTAGCCCAAGGATAAAAATAGGACCCTGATACACTGATAGCTACTAAGAATGGGCAGTCGCAGTCTTGTAACTTCCAATAAGTATCAGGAATATCAATAGATTACAAAATTGATAATAGAAGTCGTAAAAAATTTTTTTTGGAAATGTTTATTGGGCAGTTTTTCCTATGATCATTATTTCACTATTAAATACCTAGCTAGCTTTAATTCTCGTTTACAATGAGTAGATGATGTTCGTAAGAGCGTAGATCTAGGTTGCATTTCAAACTTGAAAGAAAATAATAATCGATTAATACCCTCGAATTGATTTATTATTTGTCATTATGCATCTTATAATTACAGATCTTTATCTGTAATAAAGACCGGAGACGATTGGTACTTTCTCTATGAAGAGAACTAAACTTGCATAATTCTCATTTTTATTAATTTCCACCTGTTACATAGGATAGGACATTATTTTGAATTCTCATCAACTAAGGAATCTCAAGATCAAGTTGTGGGTAAAGTAGGTTCCACCTTTTACACTAATAAAAATAAATCTTTGGTACGTCTTTCATTTTGTCTTTTTGAACTGAAACTATAAATTCACTTAGTTCGAATACATTTTTTGTTGAACTTACACAAAATGCAAGATCAAATAAAATAAAACTATTTATGGGATAACATTATTCTCATTTATTTAAAGTTATAATAAATCTGACACAATTTATAAGAAACAAAATGTTTTCTATATTGTGTTCAACACGCTGGAACTTATGGCATGCACTCGCCGAAATAGAAATTATTGTAAAAATACAAACTCAGTTGTAATTCTTACTCATATACTAGGTACTTTGATAAAGCTCCACTTTGTTTTACAAATCATACATACACTCTCTTTACAGTCTGTTTTTTATCCTATTTTAAAACTAGACATAGTTAATATTTACAATGTTCCTAATTAATTAACTCTATGACATTTACCTATATTGATAAAAGAGATCACAGAAAATTGTAGCTGGAAATCTTTGAGTAAAAGCCCTAGCATACTCTATTTCTACCACTTTATATCTTTATCACAGTGGACGTTTTCTTGTAGATTTCAAGGCATTTTTAGGTAGAAGATTGTTCGTCATTATTGTCTTTTGTCCCAAACACCATAGCAGCCAAGATAAAAAAAACATTAGTTTACAAGGTCTATTTAATATAAGAAGCTGCTAGATTTTGACTATATCCATGCAAAAAATGTATACTCTAGAATGAAATGTGGTAGTATTTCTTACATAAAATTACTGCGTTACTCATGCTACAATTAAAACGATTGGCCAAAATAAAACCATGGAAGACGATATTTATAAGTTTCACTAATAACTCCCCAGCAGGAGTTGGTTCTGATAGTTTTCTTTTAACAATTTTATAATCTATTATTATCTTTTCAGCAAAATTAATCAAAGATATAAACACATATATAACTAATTAAATTACAAAATGCATGAATGAGCGCGTGTACAATGTATATGCACGCACATACACTTTTGGCAACTTTTGAAAATCTGCTACTGCTAGATATTGGCAGTTATTTCAATGTTCCATTGCACAAATATAAAATAGTCCTATGACTTAACACACATAAACTCTTGTCTCTTTTTATAACTATTTGGGTAATTGACACTATCGAGTAAAATCACTTGGCACAAAGGCATCATTTTATGTCCAGACCCTGTTGAACTGCACAAATCTAACTAAATCTGTCAAAACCTCTCAGTATGATAATTTGCATCGTAAGTTGTTAAAATTGGTTCAATATTCGGTGCAAATTTTCAGGAAGACTTTTCTATCATAATAAATGATCTGAGAAGACTTTGACTATAACTTAGTAGGTGGAGTCCTTGCACATTAATACTACTATACACATAAAGAAGCATTGCACTGCAAATGTCTCTCTTTATTAATGGTTGATGATCATTGTTCACATTTCTCACTTCTGAGATTTAGCGCGTAACTTTCTGTACTATATTCTGGTTCACGTTTTGGTATCAGATTATCCCCGATAAGGGCACTGATACGGTGTTTGTCATGTTGCGATGGAATATTTCCGGGATCAGGCCGTGCACGTTTCCGCCACGGTTCTGATGCTCCCATACTCAAGTCTGTTGGCATGTCTTCGTCTACGGGCTCGTCTTCACAGCGTTCCTCTTTCATTTCCGACTTCACAATTGGCTGTTGCGGAACTCTTGTGGGGCTCATTTGTTGACGCAACAGAGAAATGTTCTTGATATTTTTCAACTCAGTGGGGTTCCTCAAAAACCTAAAATAGAGCAAATAAAAATGTGAGTTTAGCAATAAGTTTACAGTTGCTTAAAAGTCACAAATATAAATTATTAATTCAGAAAAATATACTGATACGTACTGGTAGCAGTGACGCTCGCCCTGCACTTTTCGTAGAATGTTGACACGATAATAATATCTTAGAGCGCGTGACATCTTATCGTAGTTCATCGACAGATGATTTTTTTGAATTCCCCAAAGTTTAGCAAGCCCAGCCGGATCTACAATTTTGAAGACGCCTGTATCTCTATTCTTCCAGGCGATGTAATTTGTGTATCGTTGTGTAGGATCATTTAGAAGTTGCTGTAAGAAGTCCCATAAGAGTCTGCCATCTGAAAGAATAGTTAGAATGTTAATAATGGGTCCTCCTTATTGTCTTTTATATTGACAGCGGTGCTGATTGGCATGATTCTGTAAACTTCTCTCCTTTCCATTCTGTATAGAGCTCGACGATGATACACTTGTCAAATTTAAGTTTACGAGTATGTTTAGAGAATCATGCCAGTATCGCCACCAATACTTTTAAGTTTATTCTGTTCAATACTTACTTGTATTTGATTCGGGCATATCATTAGGAAAGAATTCTCTGTGTTGCGCACGGTAGTGAGGATGTTGAGCTGCGTGAGATTGTGGTGCAGGACTATTAAGAGGGGCTTCTTTAGGCGAACGTGGAGGCGGTGCAAATTGAGCTTCTTCATCTGAATCGGAATGGTTGCTCCCAGAACTTGCAGCTTGCGTTGTTGCGGGAACAGGAGGAGCGTAAGCCGTCACATAGCTCATTGATTCTCCACGTTGCGGGCTGCCCGAACTGTCCACCGAAGGAGCCGGACTTAAGGTAACGGAATTAGGTTGTGCTGCGGCGGCAGCAGCACTATGAAAATGATGAAAGCCGTCGACTGCCCATGTAGGGGTAGGTGGGTGGGAGTGAGGGGAGGGAGGGTATGGAGCCCCACGCGCTGTTGGCGTCACAGGTGACGAAGGAACTCTTCCTAAAAGTGCAGCATCACGCACTAACATTTGTAAAACGTTGTGTAAAACATCTCCGGCCCCAGGGCAACGTTCTCCTAGGTCAGTTTTTGTCAATAAGCATAATGCTTTGCCTGTGAACAAAGGAAATTATATTATTAAAGTTCACTTAGTTTTTTAAATGATGCTATCCTTACTTGTGTTATTAATTTCTTGGTTGCTTACCATTCATTTGGAAGAGATCCATGTCAAAGTTGGGCAAGTCAAATTCTCTTTCACACCATTTTAAAAATACGACTACGTCTTCTCTTGTCCAGAGTCTTGGTTCTGGAGGAAGGCCTGCTGGAAGTTGAGCTTTGGTATCACCAAGCGGAGAAGGTGGTGGTGGTGCCCATGGAAGGGGGTACCGCCACAAAAGTTCCGTTGGGCTAAATGGCAGCGGAAGCCGCTCCATACTTGGCCCAGACGGCAGTTGTAAGCTTACTACTTTCATTACGACAATCTGAAACAATATTTATGTAAATTATTACTTGTACTATTGTTATTCCAGCATTAAACTGCTAGATTTAGTATAAAAAAAGTTAATGAAGAAATACCACATCTATCCGCATAGCGGAAGGCGCCGGTTTGAATTCTTTCTGATATTGGGACCGGGTGGATTTTTTTCTAGTAAAATATTCTTTAGATTTATAAATTCTTGCCCTCTGAGTTTTTTGTTTAAATCACGCTTTAAAGGTTTTGAAAGGTTAATTTATTATTGAAGTAGTAGGTTAATTTCCTGCCTAATAAGTTCGTGTATGATCATTACACTGTCAAATGATCTAAAATTGTATATATTGGGCAACATTAATAATTGTTCTTTGATTTATCCATCGATTTAGAGTCTAACATAGTATTTCCATGATAAATGGCGCTATCTAGGGCTAACTATTCTTCTATCAGTAACTTTTACAGATATATTTCAATGATAGTGGTCATTGCGCGTGCCTTATTTATTGCGAAAAGTTATTTTACATATTTTATTGTTAAGAAAGTTATAAAAGTTTCAGCACTGTTACTTTTAACGATGTAACTGCAATGAAATTACGTTATGTAATTTGTAATAACACAAACTCGACCTTGATATTACTATGTGTATTATTCAATAAACTCGAGTAAGTTTAAGAATATTTAGAATTTCGTCCAGTGGCGGTGTCCGTCTTCTTTGTTTCATAGTTGATAATATTGGTTTTGCAAGTTAGTTGTCATTAGAGTAGCTCGTATTCATGTGCGAGATAAGAAATGTCAGTAGTTAGTTTAAACAAATTGTGTCAATACTTTTTATCATTATGTTGAGGATAAAGCAGAAGTTTCCTAGTGATCTATATTATTTAAATAATATATCTGAATTCCATACCCCCCTAACATTACTGTGTATATTTTTGAAATTACCTATTAATTATATAACCTATCATTTACTATTAAATTGTCAAACTGAGGTCAATAATAATATTAATAATTAGTACTTATGATATAAAAATATATAATAAAATAAGAATGGGTAAAAGAGTATCACTGAATGAATAGATATTGCCTCAAGTTGTCATTTATATTTTACAATTTATCTTTTTCTATTAATAGGGGTGACTATGAATAAGCTTGTTCCATATTACGCGATAAATATAGGGCTGTCACCTGCTACTTTCAATTTCAGTAGGGATCAATGGAGAATAGTTGCAATGTGGGGGAGATTATTATAACGCGATGAGTTTCGAGGGGAATAAAATAAGATCGACAAAATAATCATAGGGTGAAGGTCCACTGTGTATTACTTTTTTGCAGAGTATTGCAGTTCAATTTGCTTATATATTGTTGAAAAAAACGACTTGTGTTGAAAACGACAGCCAAAGCTGGAGTTTTTGTTATCAACAAATCATTTTATTTTGTACCTATTAATTCTCCAAGTCTAGTCCTTATCCAAGTCATGTGAGATTTGTGTGGTGTTTATAGGCAGAAGATATGGAGATGTGTTCTTCGCATATATGATTCTATAATGATAGGAAAACAAAATACAGTATGTCGGTTAAGTTTTGTTATAAGAAATTGAACAGAATCTTTAATTAGTGTTTGTTGTATGTCGCCGGATTGAACTTCATATCACGAGGCACGGGCCTTATCGGGCGCGGTCGGAAATACGTAAGTGCGCGATATCGCGGTATGCGATAAGCACCGCTACTTACCGGCTGAGCTGATCCGGAACTAGTTGCGTCGTCGAAAATCCTAAAAGACGGTCGGAGCAATCAGCATATATGCATTGTCACTTCACAAGAAACACAGTATCCAGAGTTCACAGAGCACCAGACACACGCGTAGCGGTCCCTCCAAACGTGTCGTGTTACGGCTCGCCGTAAACCAGCAGCGTATCTGAGGGATCGAGCTCACAGACGAGCGTCGCGGGCAGCTCTCCGACGCGGACTGATGATGCGGTGGCGGCGCGGGCGGACGGACGCGCCCGCCGTTTCACCCCGCCCGCCCCCGCGACCCCTTCCCCTTCCACCGCACTGCCTCACATATTGCTGAGATAAAACTTCGGGAGCAAGAAGCTAAGCCCATTTCTATATAAAAAAGTACAGCACAAACAATATTTCCACAAACCGTTATAGAGGAAAATGATGTTGACGAAAATGTTCCCTTGTCTTTTGGTAATTGATTGAATGTTCTGTAGCTTATACATTAACATTCTTAGGGCACGCGGAAGTGCCAGCCATGCGATAGGATTACGTCAGCGCGCCAGTTTTTAATAACTCGCATTATTTCCTTGTTTGTACAGTAATCGCGGTTGCGACGCGATCACACCTTTTTTTTAAATAAATAAGTACTAATTATTTTAATAACTGCATAATATATTTAAAATAGTCGTCACAACTACAAAGAATCTATGTTTATCTACGTTCCTCTACTTAAAAGTTTTTGCGCCGACTGATTTATTGTTCAATAAGGTTAAATAGTGTTCAACAATTATTTATACATAGTATAGAAAATCTATCATTTTACTAACAATGTCCCTTACAATTAAGCTAAAATTTAACTGAATATGTACTGGCAGGTCAGGTCATGTTGTAGTGGCAATGTTGAGACAAAGCACAGGAAACTTCTTAGCAGCCGGACGGCGCGGTTTCCTGATGCTGAGTGAGACAATATGATCGCCAACCGGTTCGAGCTGAGCTCATTCGGTCCAGCTACACGTATTATATTTGTAACTACACATACTCGAGTGAATCACAACGTTGCAATTGTAATTTTAATTAGGTGGACACAAACTTCTGTTAAATGTCTATATTTCTTAAGCTGAAAATACAACGATAAATATCGTTGTGAAAATAAAATCCCATAATAACCATAAAGGTATATAGGTAGTTTTTAAAATCATCGGAAGTAGGTAAACTGTTTGCTTGGTTAGATTCAGAATTACGGAAAGTAAAATCATTTGAGAGTAATTTTGTAGTTCTTTTATCGAGAAGTTTTTGGTTTTAAGGCTTATTGCTATTTATTCATGTGAGCATAGTTTTAGATGTTGAACAGAATGCGTGTTGGTTGTGTGCCCTGGCGGCGTCCCACTACCGGTTCGAGACAGAAATATTCGGCAGCCAAGACGGAAGTGGTCTCGGAATCTTTACCTGTTGCTCCCTTCGCCCGCGCCGCATTCCCTCAGTCGTTCCTTCTCGCTCTCTCGCTCGGCTGTTTGTATTTAATAGTGTGACGACGCGGTACGCAAGCCTCTATACCGTGGAGTTATGTGTGGCAATTTGGAGCTCACGAATAAGAAAGACTCAAGACGATGTCCGTCCATACGTGACCGTGACCGCAGCCGCTACTTTCTTTGTCAACGTTATTATTATGTTATGTTTACATAATATCTCGTATTTTTATACAAGTCATGCAATTTGGAAAATCTCATCATTTTCAATTAAGTACTTATAGGTGTACATAAGTATCTCTGATGTGAACCAAGTTTGACTTTACCTTTGACTGGTGAATCGGCGGTATTTTTTGTTAGGATCGAAATCCTTTGTATGGGAATTCGAGTTAGTAACATAGTGAAAATTGGGACCTTTTTGGAGATATATTTTCATATCGTGTACGTGTAGTATTATTGGTAATATAAAATAAAAGAGATAATCTATCAAAAATCATACATAGTTTTATATGCTTTCTTTATATAAAAGTAGTAAAAATCTCATTTTTCATATATCTATTCTGTGTCAAGCTTTCCAAAAATCTAATTCGATAATTTTGTTTGGTTGCAAACTATATTTTTAGTCATGCAAGCCACAGCAACTCGTAATCAATATACTGTCGTTGCCTATTGTATGCAAGCAGTTATTTAAAGATGACAGTCGTGGCTCAGGAGGAATGTGACACTCGCCTCCGCCGCCGGACCTGGATCCCGAATACATGCGGAAGTGCTCGAAATAAGTTCATTGCGCGCACACATACTTTCAGCTAACTGAGCGTGAGGGTTACCCGTTAATTTTACATTGAGGAGATTTTAACAAAATTAGTAGGAGAATTGGTTTTATATTTTCAGATTGCATAATACAAAATAAATAATCACCATCAAACAATAATTGATGAAAAGCCGAGCCAAGCCAACGATATACCTACCTCAGACTACACCAATTAGAATGGATTAAAAAAATGCAGTGTTATTCAACACTAATGAGTGTGCACAGCAATATGCATCCAAACATTTTATCATCCATCGCCCCAAAATTCGCAATAAATGCTAATAGGAAATGAAAGACATGGAATAGTTTAAGCCGGAAATTAATATACGCGGGAAGAGGAAATTAGGCAGTGGCGGCCAGGGCCGGGGGACGTATGAGAGTCGAGGGGAAAGAGGGAGGAGGGCGCGAATCTGAACCCAACTTCCGATGATGGCCGCGGTACGGAAAAGGAACGCGCCCGTAAAGGAAGTACCATTCCGCCCGTCCGGTTATGTAGGCATCTTTATAGAAATGTATATGTAGGTACTGAGTTAAGTACTGTGTCTCGTTTCAACTAAGATTAAAAAGCATTATAGTCCGGCCGCTCAGAGATTGCGTTTCTGACAAGTCGTGTCAGTTCCTTATGATGATAGCATAAGAGTTAATTTTTGAACCTCTTTTCTTATTAGATCTAAAGTGTACTTTATTCTGTCACCATAAGGAACTGACACGACCTGTCAGAAACGCAAGCTCTGAGCGGCCGGACTATAATAATTAAAAGCCAAGAAAGAGTTTTTGAAATTCGAACCATTCTATTTTATGTGCCGCTGTCCTCTGAAAATGCATTAATATCTGCATATTCTTTTCACATCACTCGCTGTATGAAAAAGTATGTGTTTCGATCAGCAGCAAAGTTATTTTGCGTCTAAAAATTTGCTTTGCAATCTTGCATAACAAATGTACTGCTATATATTCACTTCGCTGATTCTGAGAAGAAGCACAAGCTATGTTGTGACAAATTGCAGTCCCAATGTTAAGGTTAGTTAGTACCTAGCCAATTGTTTCAACTCACTTGTCCAAACTTCGATAACACTCAAAGTTTTAAGACCAAGTTGTCAAGGACAAGAAAATGATGCCTATTCTATTCAGAAATCTAGATGCGAATGATCTTCTTTTTATGATGGCGAACTCCTTATATAGTTATTTCTTTCTAGGTCAGGTACTCTTAATTTTCGACGAACCGAAAAATGCTTTCATCAGCGATAGTTGGTGGAAAAAGCATTGCCAATTTGACGGAAGTTTGCGCCGGACGCCCGACCATTTTAAATTGCAATCATATGGAAATGTCGGCACTTCCTCTGACTTGACCCGGATCGAATATTTTTTTTTCTATTTGAGTCATTCGATAACAATAGACGTTTTTATTAAGGAAGGGTTATAATGCCTACAAACTATTGTTACCATTCACGGATCTACCAATTTTTTTCATCATGAATTACCGTACACTACACTGGGCAGCAAAAATTTAGGTTCACTTATAAAGATATGAGTGTTTTTAATATAAGAAACACTGATTAATACATAGGTACATACCTAATGAAAATACATATACATAAAGCAGTCGCTTTGTGTGTATTTAATTCTTAATTCATTAAAACGTAACAACAAAAAATCTTATTGCACTTTTAAAATTAAAACTTTTTTGTAGTGTTATTACTTTTTCATTCTTCCACGTGTCTGCATTTAAGGATGTCGACTTTGCTTAACGCATCTCCCAAGCTCGTTTCCTATCCTACTACATTATTAACTCAATACCTATGGGATGTAAGTGCGGGCGGGTCTGTAAGCTGGCCTCTTCATCAGGTAATGTCGAATTGTCGACGTCTTGAATTTATGCATCGACAAAATGTGCTTTATGTGGCTGCTATACCTTTGTTGTGTGTGCACAATAATTGTGTATAAAATGGAATTTGCACTACAATTCACATTCAGGCTGCTAATTTAAGACAGAGTTAAGACTATGACTTTGAAGCTATCTGATCCTCTATCGAATGACACTTTTCTTTCATTAACACGCTAGATGATTCTGTCTTCCTATAATAGTCTAAATGCTTTTCGCTTATCGCGTTCCATCATGTGTTAATAAATAATCAAAATATGGAGACATTGCAAAACGTTTCCCTGGACCATTCTTCATGTTCATCGGATGTGTTGTCGAGCAAACAGTAAAATGGAAACTGTGTTAATGTTTACTCTGAGTCTTTGGTATTTTGCTCTCTTGTAAAGCCTTTTATATTAGCTTTACGAAATCGGCGCAGGATTGTGTCAGGGTTGTGTATTTGAACCTTAATGGCCTGCGCAAACGAAAGACTTTTTGTCCGCAGACTTTTTTGTCTGCCTCAATAGATCGCTTACGCAGTCGTAATCAAGTAACGTAGACGAGGAATTAAAAGTCCCGTGTACAAAAAGTCACCCGAACAACCAAGGACACAGCTAGACCGGACAGCGCAAAAGTACGCAGGAGTCCCCAAAAAAAATAGAACTAATAATATTACTCGGCGCCGGCGTAGCAACGCGCACAGCGAACCACGTTGCGCGCCTGATCCGATTTAAATAGATGGAACCAGTATACTACTTTAAACGTCTTCTCTTTTTCTGAAACTTCATGTTCGTGACAACTAATATCCTGAGAATATTTACTTCCATAGCGAGCGCTTTTCTTAGTTTTCGGGCAACTAATGTTTGCACACCGTGTGCGTTGAGTCCGTGCCAAGTCCTCGGCGGACATTTTTTTCACGATACAGGTACTGATGTCCTCTAAACAAATTTCAAATGCCCTCGTGTGCGCAGACCATTATTGAGATTTATTTAATGCATTACTTGCTATCTAGTCTGATTAGGTATATCATTATTAATTATATACGAACGATCTAGGTGCATACAAAAACACACGTCTTTTTGGAATGCTTAGCAGTGTATCTCCTGTGTATCTCGTCATTAGTTCGATATACATGTGAAATATTCTAATAATATTCTAAAATAATCGAAAGTCTTTTCTCTGCTAACGATTTTATAAAGATAAACTATTTTTTAAATTTCATGTATTTGTTTGTCCAGTTTATAAAATATAATGTTATTCTACGTTCAGTTGGCGCAGAAATTATAGTAATTCTTGTAATCTTCAGTCGATTGCAGCACCAACAATGAGGGTTTTGCAAGTTGCAACATTCGAACGCACTTCCGAGCTGCGCGGGCGCCGGTTCGCGTGGTGGCCTCGTTTCGTCTGTTGTTCTCTTGTTATATAATGAGGTGCCACTCACAACTAGGCAACTATGTCACTCCGAAAATTACGCCACTACGAGCTTGTCTTATTGAGAAATCCAAACGAAGAAGGAGTTGGACGTAACGGTAGATGCTTTAAAATACAAGAATGGTTGGATAGGTCACCCCATGTTGTGTAAACAATAGAAGACTGCTGCGTGTTTTACAAATACGAACGAATGGGATACGCAATAGTGTATATGAATGTTCCTTTTTATTGATTTTTTTACCCGACTGCCCAAAAACGTTCTAGACAAAGCAACAAATCTCTGTTTACGAAATTCCTAGTTTATAGTACTATTTCCTAGTTTTATCATAAAACCAGTATAAGATTTGCGGTCATTTACATCATTGCCCCAATCGGCATCAGTGTATCTTACCAAATTAAAATTAGCATTCTTTATAAAACAAAGAATTCTTAATTGTACCGGCTACTCAAAGCAATTGTTAAAATGACGGGGGGTATAGGGGTGCTTACTGGTTTCCAATTCTCCATATTAAAACGTTTTAATATATTCAGTTTGATCTAAGCACTTAAGTTTTTTCAATGGTCCCAAATTTTTGACATAGAATTTCATTTGTAATACTTTCAACAACTGCTCTTTAATTGAACTATTTTTAGAATAAAAAACATAAAAGTCATCATCATAAACAGCAAGGAAACCAAAGTATTTATCTAATTTCGTTTGAAACCAGTTTCAGTTAAAACATTATGTAATTTTTCATTGCATATTGTCTAGCTTGTTTTAAACCATATAAACTTTTCAGTAATAAATAAACTTCATTTGGATTTTTATTACAAAAACCTATAGGTTGTTCCACGTATATAACCTCATTAAGATTACCATTAAAGAAAGTAGGTAGTTGTGAAATCAATGTGGTTAATTTCGAAGTCCAATTCATTTGCCAATGAAAACAAAAATCTCATAGAGGAATGCCTCACTACTGGAGAAAAAGTACCGGTATTATCTATCCCTTGCTTCTGGGTAAACCCCTGGCAACCAGTCTAGCTTTAAACCTATCAAATTTCCCATCTGCATCATGCTTTAGTTTGTAAACCCATTTTCATTTCACAATGTTACACACACATTTCATAATTTAAGGTATACTACACACAAATTGACAAAAAGTCCACCGATTGCATAAAAAAATATACTTAAAAAATATTGTCCGAAAAATAAAACTTCTTTTTTATTTTATAGTTATTTGTTGTTGTGATAGAATAATGAATCACTTTAATTACAGTGCGTGGTTTGGCAAGGAAGCACTACCTATTCTCCAAGAGGATTTTCTGCTGGATTTTATATTAAACTAGTATAGACAACAGTCTTTTATGTGATCTTTTCCTTCACAAAGTTCGTAATTATGGTCGGCAAAGAAATCACCTACTTCCGTCGACCTCAGACGTCGTACGTCCATCCACTTGTGGTCGGTCACGCAACTAAACAAATTATTGTGTTTATGATTAATATCGTCATTCTATTTTATATACAAAAAGTGTAGCAGAAGACTGGTATAGGTAATTAATATTGCGCAAAATTCGCCGGAAACTATAAAAGGTGTTAAGTATACCCCTATAGTACAAACAGATCCTAATGTTTTACTGTGACTTATTTATTAGAAATGTTGGACATTGTGCACCATGTCGAAGCACCTTAAAATTGAAGGAATAAGCAACTTAAAATCACGAGTTCAGAATTAAAAATTATTGAGGAATTTTCCGTTAAAGATTAATTCTAATGAGTTCATATTAAAGTTTTCTGTTTATTTTAAAACCTATCAATACCTATAATAACCTAAACTACACATTTTGGATTCAAAATTACTAACCAAGTTTTCAATAATTGGCAAAACTCACGACGTAAGGCTAAATCCTTGAATTCGCTGTTGAAGTATGAACGCGTTATTAATTATAGTATCAGGATTACAAGATTCGCGTCAATGACTGGGTATGGGGTGAAGTGAAAGCCTGGAATGCTACATAAACACTTATTTGCAATTATTTGTGAGTTTCATTATACTTGTTCATAGTTCCATACAATGAATATGTAAAAGTTTGATAAGTGGTAGAGCAACCTCTAAATCTCCAAAAAATAAAATATGGTATACCTATATTTATATGACGAGGTGACCCGATATCATCTTAAAAGTTCCGTAATATATACAGGGTGTCCCACGGCATTGTCACATGGAGGGCAAGTATATTAAATATTGAAGAATAGGATTTTTTACTGAAAGATGACATCAATTTATTACAAATAATAAGTAGAACTGCATTCAAAGATTTTAAAAAAATCGTCTGCCACAACCGGGAATCAAACTCGTGAAATGTGAAATAAACACGAGGTAT